AAGTACCTGGCTCATGAGACTGCTATTCAGATACACTTTAAGAAATCCAATTAATACTGCCTCACTCATAGTGAGAATTCAATAAATATTCACTTTGATTATTACCTTAAAAGACCAGATTTATCATGAATTTATCGCTTCTGCAACTATGCATATATATATACACATACATATACATGTATATATACATACATACATATACATGTATATATACATACATACATATACATGTATATATACATATATATGTATATATATATAAATAAAATAACTGCTACAATTACTAAATGATTGTATTGAAACGATAAGGAAAGAGACTCTCTTAAAATAATTTTAAGGCTTATTTTTAGTGTGTGTGTGTGTGTGTGTGTGTGTGTGTGTGTGTGTGTGCAAGTGTTCATGAAGGTTAGAGGAGACAGTAGGATATGCCCTGAAGCTGGAGTTTTAAGTGGTTGTGAGCTTTTTGATATGGTACTTGGAACAGAACTCCAGTCCTTTCTAAGAGCATCAAGTGCTCTCAACCACTGAACCATCTCTCAAGGCTCCAAATGTTATACAACATAAGTTTCTATACTAAAATGTCTTGGTTATTAGAGTCGTTTTACATAATTTATAAATCTTATTTGTTTATTGAGAAAAGATCTCAAAATACAAGACAAGTGGCCTAGAATTCTCTATGTAGTTCAGGCTGGCCTTGAATTCTCCAGACTCAGCTTACTGTATTTTGGGGTCACAGTCTTCCCCCCATGCTGGGTTAGAATTCATAATCAATTATGAGATTATGGTAATTTATATTTGGTTAGGTAATAGTCATAGAGATTGACATTTTCCCTTTTTTATGTATTTCATGAATGTTCAGACATAAAATTTTAAAATTACTTTATGCAAATCACCTGGAGAGTTTGGTGTGCATCACTTCTTATTGACTTAGAGTTTTAAAGTGATTGTTTGCTTCAACTGTGTTATTATTAAGAAATAGGCCACTTTCATAAGTAAGTAGTTATTGAATTGAATATTTCCAAACTTGTGGGATGCCAGCCATTTAATTATATATTTTATTTTTTCTACATAAGGTATTCATTCAGAAAGCTAGTATTATTCCTTAATAGCTACAAATATGTTTCTCTTATTTATTCATTCATCTTTGAGGGATAATATCTTACAATACTGGCCTGTCTGGGTTCAGATTTGTAATTTGTGTACATCAGATTCCTAGGTGCTGGGATTTATATCCACCTTCAAATTTTCTTGGTGTAAAGTAAAAATACATAAATAGTTATTTCATAATTGATCCGTTTTATAAGTAGAACGATGTGCATAATAATTTCAGCTCAGACTGTTTTTATTTCTTATATTCATTGTTGCATTTTTTTGTGCATGGCACAGTGTCACACAGGAAGTTTTCATCAAGATTTTCTAGTGAGCTTATCAGTATATGCTAAGCTTCTAGCTCATTATTACTCCTGCATATTCCTTTACTCATTGTGTTTCCATATTGCATTTCATAAGTCCATTTATGTCCTTTGCAGGTGTGGTAAACAATGCTACAATGATCAAATACACACATGTCTTTTCTTGCATATTTTTATATCCAAAGACTAAATCCTCATTTAAGATTGCTGTGTCAAAGAGTATGCATTCATAATTTAATAGACACAATCCAAGTTGTTTTCAAGAGAAAAGCATGCAGGATTATGCTATAACATCCATTTCCACAAACTCACCAAGATGACATCAACATACTTTTTGATTTTGCTAATTAGCTAGTTGTAAATGACCCTTAAAACCTTTGCATACACTTTAATAAGATTTGTATTTTTTCTTATTTGTTAGCTGTGCATTTAAATGCCTTTGTCCATTTCACTGTTGTGTTTTGAGGCCTGTACCAATCAATATCTTAGAATTCATTATGTATCAGGAAGATTTTCTCTTTTGTTGTGATTTTTTGTGAGTATCCCCCTCCCTCCAGTCTGCCAGTCCTTTCTAAAGTTTTTACTTTAAAAAGTTGCAAAAGTTTGTTTGTACCATTCGCTAAGGAATTGTTCGAATGAATTTAGCTAAAGGCAGTGAATTCTGGAGCAGCAGGTTTTTATTTGAGTTGCATAAAGCCTCAGGGTTCCACAAGGCATGTCTGTGGAGTTCCTTGAAATACAGCACAATAGTGGATCAAATGTTAAAAATACATGAATTCCCACTCTTTGAGACCATGCTAGGAAACTGCACTCAGTACAGGAGAGTCAAGATAGGAAGACACATGAAAAATTACATAGATTGGAACATCTCATGCAGGAAAAAAAAAAAACAGCTCTGAAGTATGGGAGAACATGATTTAGATGGCTTCACTGTAAAACTACTTTGTATCTGGTTATATCTCTGGCCCCCAGTTTGTTTCTTTTTCTTAGCATTTATATAATCATTTTTGAGTTTTATTCCCCCTTCAAAGGAAATTTATGAGGAGTCTGAAGTAGAGTGTGGTGATTTGAATAGAAATGGCTCCCACAGACTCATGTGCTTGAATGCTTGGCCCATAGGGAGTGGCACTATTAGGAGGTGTGGCCTTGGAGTGGGTGTGGCCTTGTTGGAGGAACTGTGTCTCTGCGAGGGAGGGCCTTGAGGTCTCATAGGCTCAAGCTATACCCAGTGTGGCACACAATCTCCTTCTGCCTGAGGATCAAGACGTAGAATTCTTAGCTCCTTCTCCAGCGCAGTCGCCTGCATGCTGCCATGCCTCTTGCCATGAGGATACTGGACTAAACCTCTGAAACTATAATCCAGCCCCAATTAGATGTTCTCCATAGTAAGATTTGCCATGGTCATGGTATCTCTGCAAAGTAGCAGGAACCCTAACTAAGACAGAGTTTCTGAGATTGAAAGCAAGAGGCATGAACTAAGTGGAGCCAATCCTTCCCATTCCCCATTGTGCCAACTACTTTTTCACACCCTTTCTCATCTATCGGTTCCTGATGAATTCAGAGCAATCCTGGGATTCTGCTAATGAAGTTCAAAAATAATGGATCTAGGGATCTAGTCTATTTCCTAATCCAAAAAGTGATGGAAGGCCAACTCTTCTCTTAGAGTACTTAGGAATTTTTGTGTATCTCAGTATCTGTGTCCTCTTCTTAGGAGAAATCCTTCTAAGATAGAATGTAAATCAAACATGATGCATGCTTGTCAGGTTAATCTTCTTAGGGGAATTAAGAAACAGGGAGGGTTTTTTTTGTTTTGTTTTTTTTGTTTTGTTTTGTTTTTTGTTTTTGTTTGTTTGTTTTACTGTATAATGATCAGACTCAGAATTTCTAGAATTTTTGTGGCATGGAGAAGCTTTAAGGACATTGTATTGATTTTGACAAATGGAAGCATTGCATCTACATTGTCTCTGCCTCACAGTTACCTGGTTAGACCTATAGAATCAGCTCTTCTGCAAGTAGCTCTTTTTATTTTGCTCCAAACAGTCTGGAGTTTCTTCTCATATTGAACATCCATGTACCTTCCACTCACAGGCTCAGTTATGATTCTTCAGAGGTACAAAATATGTCACAGTATTTAAATAAGGACAAATAAGAGAGAGAATTACAGCATCCCTCCCCTTGTTCTATCTTCCAGCATCTGTCAAGTAACCTTTTAGTGTTCCTCACATTATATGTAAATCTGCAAAGACATTATTGAAATCCTGATTACCCTCTGACCTCATCCCAGTATCATGGGTGTGAAAGGGACATGATGTGAATGTGAGTAGCAGTCTGTGCAGAGAACAAAAGGCTAAGGGATCCCAGAAATCTAAATTATATTTTTTCCCTTTCTGTTTTACCCTCTAGAGGTCTTTAACTTGCCTTACAACATGAATTTCCCTGATTAATCAAGGAACTGTGTGCAAACTTTTGTCTTTGTAGACTGAGGTTCATCTACACCTTTGAATGAGATAAATATGTATCATTATTTAGATCATGTCATTATTTAGTTCAATTGACTCATTTTAAAGATTTAGGAAAGGTTCAACAAGTGTACAGAGAAGAGAAATTTCTGTAGTTTAACATCTTTCTTACAGTTTGTCCACAAATGGACAGATGCAGTCATACATGTTTTCATACTACCTGTAATCACCCTGTTGCCCCAAAGAGTATCAACAGCAGGTAAGATGGTTGTGTTCCCAACCCTAGAATGAAGTGTTGGAGGTCTGATACAATGACAGCTTGCCTGGCATCTTCAAGGTCCTGAGTTCATTCCTAGCCTTGAAAGCACATTCCTCAATTTGCAAATATATTACTTTACATGATTAAATATGATTTTACAATCAGGAGTCCCATAAAGATACTAAGCTAATATCTAACATATTTATGGGACTCCTGACTGTGGAAATAGGTGGGTCTCTGACTCTTGTGCCTGTTCTTGTTACTCTTCCCCTGTTGTCGGGTTTTCCGGGTCCATCTTCGATATGATAGCTTTTGCTTAATCTTATTACATTTTATTTTCTCATGCTTGGCTGTTATCTCTTAGAAGCCTGTTCTTTTCTAATGAGAGACAGGAAGGGAGCAGATCTGGAGAGGAAAGGAGGAGAGGCGGGGAAGACCTTGGAGGAACAGACAATGGAAGGGGAACAATATCCAGAACATATTGTATGAGAACAGAATAAAAAGAAAACAAAGAATGAAAAAAGTGACTTTATAAAGATGAATTTATTTTTCAGAGTTTCAAAGTAGAAAGAGTATCTTCATTTGCATATAATTGGTGGCCAATCTAATTATATCAGTTCTTAGGTAAAGGAATTTCCTGGCTATTTAGTTGGAAACGTGATGAAGGAATGATTAGAGTTATGCAACAATGCTGGTCTTAAACTCATAGCTGCCCTGCAAGAGCCAGCCCACGGGGAAAAAATCTAAGAAAAGGCAACAAATCTTCCCTGGAATTTCAAGAAAGGCATTCAGCTTTGTCCACCCACCAGTCTTGCCCCCTTGAACCCATGTTTGGCCACGGACATAGAAAACTGTAAGATAGTAAATGTGTGTTGTTTTAAGTCACTGTTTATTGCAATTGTTACAGCAATGATAGAAAACTAATAACATCCAATGAAGCCAAACATGAAGCCAAATGAGCTCGCAGCTTTTTAAGATGCAAGTGTTAAAATTATGTAGCTTGAGCAAAGCTTTATGCAGCCAAATTTTCCGTATTTGATATCCATAATCCTCATACTGAGCAAGGCTTTGTTGGAAATTGCATTAATAAGTCAGAGTACCATTCAGTCATTATTGCTTCAGTGTGCTTGCTGTTGTCTTTCTGATGGTGGCCCAAGTCTCCCAAGTGTATCTGGGGGAATTGCTCCTGCACTGGGGAAAGAATGATTTAAAATTAATCTTTCAGATTATCACTTTTAGAAAGCATGTTTGTGGAACATTTTGGAACCCTCTATATTTTACACCTGGGTTCTCATGGTATTTGCTTCCAAAATAAAAGCCAGTTTATATTAAGTATATTTCTAAACCGAGTTAAAGCTTTATTAATTTAGTAAATGCTTGGAGACAACACAATTTTCACTCAGAAGTTGAAAGCAATGGTGATCGCTTTGGGAGCATTTTAGAAATACACAGTTTCAGAAATGCACTGCCACCTGGGTACTCTCTCATGGGCTTGGATCAGAGACACGGTGGTATTTCATGGCCTTGAGCTGCTTTCCAAAGGAAAAATAATCCTCACCAGTGAGTGGGTAGTTATTTTGTGCTAGGCAATGTGCTCATTATTGAACATATACATCTAATCAGTATAACTATAAAGAAAACATGTCTGAAAAATCCCATTTCACCACTGGGAAAATAGACTCCATGAGAATATGTCTCTAACTCAGGTCATAAATTTATCAATCTTGAAATTGGATTCACATGATGACTAGTCTGGCCTCAAAGCCCATGTTCTGCAATTCGTGAAATGTGTCCTTGTTACTACAGTGTGGCTGCACTGTTGTATGTCTGTTCATTTCACTCTTTTTCAGTCTCTACTACAGAACCAGAGCTTGGCAAAGGTTATTTAATGGATGCATGAATGACTGACTGCATCAAGAGAAACTCATGTTTGTCTCTTTACAATGATATTGAGGGACAAACTGGTATTTTCAAATGTAATTTTAAGGAACAAATTAACTAAGCTGAAATAAAATTAAAGTTAAAAAGCATTTTTTTTTTTAAAAAAAATCCTGTTAAATATTTTTATAAAGACAAAAACCTGTATGTTTTATGTCTGAATTTGACCATGTCTTCTTCAGCTTTGTAAGAGTCCACATATAAACACACACACACACACACACACACACACACACACACACACACACACACATCAGACACATGCACACATATATGCACACATATATCATACATACACTAATACACACTGTAGGTTAACATATTTGCTTGTAAGGAATTCATTCCCCCATATGGTTGGGGATTTTTCACTTCTACATAGACTAAGCATGAGATTTCTTGGGAGACAAGACATATGCTACAGAGTGTTGAGAATATAACACACTAACACTATGATAGCTTTAACACATTATGGAAACTAAGCCATTATAAATTTCGTGACAAGTATGTTCTGAGTACGTGGAAGAAAAAAAAAGTGAATGCATCAAACCTTCTTCACATCATGGATCTCAGAGTTTAGTCTCAGGAGTCATTTTAACAGCAGAACCCCATACTAATAAAGTATGATTAGAATCTATCATATAAAGCATATGAAAGAGAAAGAGTTTCTATCTATAGGTAAGGTGAAGCTGAGGGTCCCAGAGACCCCTGCATACTACCTAATTACCATTATATCTCTATAGGAATCCTGGTGTCGTGGAAACCCAACATAATATCTATTGTTTGTATTATTTTGCAGAATTCTCCAAAGTACAGTGAACATCTGCAAAGTGTCATGTAGAATTTGCCTTAACATGACTTTTATTTCTCAACTCAAATGAATGTGTATTTTATCTTCCAAAAGTCCTATTATTTCGAAGGTTATTCATTTTTAAGAAAATATACAAATTGAAATGTGAGGTACCCACCAGAGAAGGCCACTAAAACACAGATTCAAGCCGATAGAAAGTCCTTAGTAGTCACTCTGTGATTACACTGGGTGTTCAGGATACCAGTGCAGTCCTGAACCTTTCTCAGGATGGGTTCTTAAGCACAAAAAAATACATCTTGGGTTGACACACTTCAGTAGCTCAGACAGTTATCCAGAAGCAGAACTAAAGAAGCCAAAAAGCAAGGGTAGGACATCTAGGGGCTTTTCATTCTGGGAAAGTTCTTTGATGGATTAGGTCTTTGTTCCCATTTCGCAGGTGTTGCAGCCTCTGTACTGGGTTCCAAGGCCTGAATGGTACTTCCATCAACGGCTTCAGTTGTGCTAAGATCTGGGGGCCTGTTACCTTTGATGAAAAGCTCAAGAATTAAAATGAGATGGCGTCATACACACAGCCTAGAGCACATGGGGAGTTTTGAGAGGTGAACCTTGCTTTGCACATGATGAGTCTGATGCTTACCATTGGGGAACACATAGAAAGGAAAGGTCTGATCTGCAAGGCTTGTTCTTGGGAATTTCTCAGTGCAGATTGGCTGAGCAGTTGGTTGAACTAGAGCTGTCCTTTCTGTAGTGAACAGCATCAAGAATTAAGCTCAGGACTGAATATCTTTAAGAGCCATGAGAATTGGTGCTGTTTTTATCCCTTTGTTGTTGAATATCCAAGTAAAGTGATAACGCTTAAGGTAGATTTTTTTCTTTCCCTTTTCTTTTTTCTTTCTTTCTTTCTTTTTTTCTTTTTTGCTGTGACTTTCAGGAAACTTATCAAAATACTAGAAAAGATGGGGCAGCCTGTAGCTAATTTCAGCTGCTATTTTTGAACAATGATTAAAGAAATATCCATAAAACAGACTATTAGGCATCCCATTATCTTGATGACAACTGTGCCAGGATTAGGCTTATTTCCACTTACAGGAGAGAAAATTGATATGAACAGAGGTCACGAAACTTTTCCAGAACCACCGAGTATATAAACGTTGAGGCTGGGATTTTGCGATCAAGTCTTCCTGGCTCTACAACCCTATGCCAGCCATGCTCCTCCTCCATCCTTGCTTGTGTGTAGCATCTAACTCTTGAATAATTCACACTGCCCTGTTTTAACTCGGGGCACGCTTGGAATTACAATCAGGCAAGAACATCAGCGCAAGCATATCTGATCCTTTATCACAAGGAAAAAGGGTTTTATGTTGTCCTCCCCATCCCCAAGTGAGAGGCCGCAATCTCAGCAAGGCAACCCTGTTTTATCTACCCAACTTTACACTCTCTTTTACTGCGCTTACTGTTCCCGCTGAGTGGGTTTTCATGTGACTTGTGATGCACCTCTATCTGGACCAGAAACCAGACTGCTTGGTGAAGAACACGCGTGCCTCTTAGTTTCAAGATTCAGCCGTATCACTGGAGTCCATTTTTATTTAATCTTTCCAAGTCAAGAAATCTATGGCAAGATTTCTCCAGTTTCCCTGCTGTGTTCCATGGATGATTGACCTGCTCTATATTTCCCTGAAGCATAGGCATCCCTTTAACTGCTGGTACTGCAGTGGAGGACACCTTCGGGAGGCTGGGGGAGGATGGTTATGCATAGTGAAATGAAATGACAGCAGTACTGAACAGGTCCCCAAAGTGGCAGGCAGCTCTCTATGATGCTCCTTGATGCCTAGCATGGGAAGGCAGGGAACATTATTTAAACAACTCAGGAGACCAGCACATTCCCAATGCCTTACACCACATGGAAGGAAAAATGCACCCACAGGAGCCAAATAAAACTGGATACTGCCTTTCTGATTCCAGGGAGATGGGTACTTAATCCTCTGAAAGCAGGACAAAGTGTGATCAGGGTTATCACGTAAAGACAACAGTGTTGTTCTCATGATTCAAACAGAAGTCTATCAAATAAAGGGAAAAGAAACGATACAAGTATGCAAAATAATCTGAATTACCACGGCCTTGTTTACTTTCCTCTCCCATTTGCAAGACTCTCCAGAAGAGCATATGGGTGGTTAGCTCTCTGTTTTGCAGCAGCAGAACTAAGAATCTTGTGAAGATCAGGCAGGGTGAGTGGTGGAAGAAAGCAGGGATCCAAGAGGTGGGAGGAACAGCTCTTGGAATGTTTGAAGTCTGAAATTATTGTTATTGGCACAGAGAATAAAAGAACTTCATCTCTACAGGAATACTGAGCTGTCTGTATATCAATTATAAATCCAAGCTTGAACTCACCGCCTCCATGTCTCCTCTCCCCATCATCCCCACTCTCCATTTTATCTTCCTAAGCTTCACAAATTCTTTTGTCCATCTTATTTGAAGGAATTCTCCCAGCCACAGATATCCTCTTGCCCCTCTGAGCCACGGGGATATTTGCAGTGCTTGGCTGGACTGGTCTTCTTGCCTTCCTTTATGTAGTGCAAACACTGCCTGCAGCAATTGAAACTGCCGGGATCCCTAGCCTCTCCTTCACTGGAGGCCGAAAACACAGGCTGGAAAGTGTTCTCTTAACTGAGCAACCACCTTGATAAATACAGCGCAACTACAGTGAAATGAAACTCCATCTAGACATGCAACAGGCTAATGGGAAGCCTCTTTCCCTATTTTATTTTGCAGTTTTGAGCTTTGAAATTGTTGTAAGTTGTGAAAATTTGTCTGTAAATGTGTTGCCTAACAAGAAGTTAAGACTCTGGAGTCCTGGGGAATAAAAGTACATTTGTACCATGTTTTAAAGTAAATAAAACCGAAGACAAAGATAAAATAAATTCCTTTCAAAGGCAGTGTGTGCCTTGGTTCTTTAGGAAAACCACTTTTAGTAATGATTAGGACAAAAAATTATCAGAATAAAGTGAATAGCAAGCAAGAAGCACTTACCTATTTTGAGAATAATGAACAAAACACATTATTGAAACACTTGTCATTCCATAGAAAAAGAAATCTCATTTAAAATGAGAGTATGTGAGGAACTCAAATCCTTACATACCCAATTCTCTAGGAAATAATTACATGCCGATGTTGACTGTGGGTGCCTTTAGAGAATGAGCATGGTTTTGAAGTAGAATGTCTTAAACTGTGAAAGGAAGTAGCCAAGAAAGAAAGACCCTGTCTAGAAGTGACAAAAAGCCACCTTCTCTTTTTTATCAGAGACTTCCACATATTAAAAACAAGTCTCCAAACCAAACCAAACAAACAAGTCTGTGCCTGAAGAGATGAGGGAGTGGATGGGAAAATAGCTGTTGTTTTACTTCATCTATATTTATTCTGACCATAAAATAGTATCAGGCAGGAGAAG